ATTCGCCGGCCCAACGGGCCAGGGCGTGCTAAGATCGCCGGTAACTGGTTAACAGTATTAACCGTATTTCTAGTTCGCGCGCGCGGGGCGGCCCCTGGGGGTCCCCCGGCGAAAAGTACCCCGACCAACGCCCGGTCGCCGCCCGGTCGCCGCCCGACCACCGACCGAGTCTACTCAGAGATGGTTTTCCTTCTGGGTGCGGCCTCTCAGGCTCCCCAGAGCGCGCTCAGAGTGCCCCAAGAGGCCCCCAAGACTGCCCAAGAGGCCCCCGAGACGCCCAAAGAGCGCTCGAAGACGCCGAAGATGACCCCAAGACGGCCCAAAAGGCCCCCAAGACAGCCCAAGAGGCCTCCAAGACGCCCCAAGAGCCTTCCAAGAGGCCTCCGAAGAGAGCCCCAAGAGGCCAAAATCGTTGATTTTCATTGGTTTTTTCGATGTTTTTTGTGTTCTGGCTTTTTCGGCTTCCGGACGCTCCAAGACGGCCCAAGAGGCCCCCAAGACCGCTCCAAGACGGCCCACGAAGCTCCCAAGACGGCGCCGAAACGACCCAAGAGAGCCCTCAAGACGGCCCAAGTGCCGCCCAAGACGGACCAAGAGGCCCCAAGACGGGCCCAAGAGGGACTCAGGAGGGATACCGAGAACTCAAAAATGGAGCCCTCCGTCCCAGAAGGCGCCCAGGAGGTCCCAAAGAGGCCCCAAGAGGCCTCCAAGAGGCCCCAAGATGTCGCCAAGAGGCCCCAGGAGACTCCCAGGAGGCCCAAAAGAAGCCCCAGAAGGCTTCAAACATGTCTCCCAGGCGCCCCCGAACGGCCTCTCAACAGACCCCAAGAGGCCCCCCAAAGAAGCATCTTGACGACGACTCTATTTCGCCCCATCGAGAGACGACCCCCAGGGAACTGCTTCACCATCAAAACTCCCCACGCAACGCGTCCGAACGACACCCGCCCCCAAGAGCGCAACATGGGCAACGAACACACAGACAAAAACCAGCGATGCCATATCACGGGCCGGCGGAATGAGCGAAGCGATTCAATAAAGGGTGCGCAGGGGGTGGCCCCCGAGCGCGGCCGCTATCCGTGCCAGTCGTCCAGGCATAGCAGGCGTGGCACTTTCTAGACACCATAGGGGGTGCGCAGGGGGTGGTCCCTGAGCGCGGCCGCTATCCGTGCCAGTCGTCCAGGCATAGCAGGCGTGGCACATTCTCGACACCATAGGGGGTGCGCAGGGGGTGGTCCCTGAGCGCGGCCGCTGGCTGGCTCGAATCTGTCCTTGATGGAGGATAGAAGGCTAGGAAGAGGGAGGAGGTTCAAGCAATACGGCGTTGGATGACACAGAGGGGAACATTCGCGACGAGGGCTGAGAACGCAGAATTGCGCATGCAGAATTGCGCATATATCAAAAACTTAAGCAAGCACATAAGATTTAAATTGAGTATGTGGGGTTCCTCGGTAGCGTCATTTTACTTTCTCGCCCAAGCTGCGCCTGCAGGGGGACAGGCCCGACGTAGAGCGAGGCCCGAGCTCCTGGGCGCAGGCGGCGCCGAGAGGGCGCACGCGGCTCCGCCCCTGGGCCCCCGGGGCGGGCCCCTGCTCGACGCGGCGGGCACCGAGCGCGGCTGTGCGCGGGCCCGCTGCGAGCGCGCCGTGCACGCTCGCTCCGAGCAGTGGGGCGATGGGGGGCTCGCCCCCGGGGCTCGGGCGGCCCCTCCTGCCCCTCCCCTTCCCCGCCTCCTTCCTCCTCGCGTCGTCCCCGCTTCGGCATCATCCCCCCCTCGCCGCCTGGTGGCCCCCCCTTCGCCGCCTTGCCTCGAAGAGTGATTTCTTGTTTCCTTCCCTCGCCCTCCGCGTTGGCGGAGGGCGGGGGGTCTCGAGGGCATCGGAGCCTACCCGAACCTGCCCGCAGTGTCAGCGTCAAGAGGAGGAGGAGGAAGAGGAGGAGGAGGAGGAGCAGGAGGAAGAGGAGAAGGAGGAGGACGACGACGAAGGAGGGAAGACGGGGGCGAGGACGTCGCCACCGCCCTCCCCTCACCGAGACGGGCTGCACTCCAGCAGCTCTGCGCCGCTGTCGGAGTCGCTGGCAGTGGTCGCCTCCATCAGCCTGGCGGCCGCCAGCGGCAGCGCCGTCGCCACTGCTGCTGCGCCCTGGCCATCGTCGTCGACGACGGTGACGTTGTCGCAGCCGCCGGCACTGCTGCCAGCGCAGCCGCCAACATCGCCCTCGTCGGTGTCGTTGGCGTCGTCGCCAATCCCTCTCCCGCTGCCCGCTTCTCCTGTAGACCAGCCACACCAAGGGGAGCAATGTTCTTTACCTCCCTGGGGAAGCCCACCATAGCGACCGTCGCTCGAGGTGGGTGTCGAATCCGACGGCCCAACGCCCCAGGGAGGTATACGACCAGCGCTCCTCCAGCTGTGCCCACCCAGGGATGTATACGACCAGCGCCCCAGGGAGGTATACGACCCGCCCCTCCCCAAGACCCCGTCCCCGCCTCCCCCTCCCGCCGCCTCCGCCTGCCCCTTTCGCACGCGCACGGGCCGCCGCGAAGATCGGCGGGAGCGGCGCCGACGAGTTGGCGAGGCAGTGCGAGCTGCGGTCCCAGAGGGGTGGGAGGCGGACGAACACGAGAAAGGACGAGAGCGCAAGAAGACTCGGGGTATAGCCAAGAGCCCCCGTGGGGGAGGGAGAAAGACGAGCTCTCCAGTGGGAGGGCTGCAGCTCTGGGCGGGAAGACGCCAAGAAGCGCGATCTCCATCCTGCAACTCTTCCTCTCCCCACAAAACCGATTCCGGGATCTGCCCCCGAGCGCCCTCTGACCAGAATTTCGATGCGGACGCAGCCGCCGCGACGAGATCACCCCAGGAAGCCCCAAACGACTATAAACGTCCTCTTCCACTCTCTCTTTCCCGAGATCGCCCGGATCTTAGATCCTCCGACCCCGGATCTTAGATCCTCCCTCCTTCCCTCCCCCCTCCCCTTCCCCCCGAGGAGGAGGAGGAGAGGGAGGAGGAGGAGGAGGAGGAGGAGGAGGAGGAGGAGGAGGAGGAGGAGGAGGAGGAGGCGGAGGAGGAGGAGGAGGAGGAGGAGGGAGGAGTAGGAGGAGGAGGAGGAGGAGGAGGAGGAGGAGGAGGAGGAGGAGGGGAGGAGGAGGAGGAGGAGGAGAGGAGGAGGAGGAGGAGGAGGAGGAGGAGGAGGAGGAGGAAAGCCATGTGGGCACAGGACATCCTTTTTGGCGTGTGTCTTGCCCTTGGCTTAGGCGCCACACCCCTGGCCAGTTTCAGCTGCTTTGCTGGTGACTGGGGTGTGCGCGATCGGACCCAGCCAGTCAGCATTCCGCCTCCCAAGGAGGCTTCTTGGCACAAACGGCAGCGGCAGAAGAGACAGCGCGCCAGGGTTCTCCTGGCAGTGCTCAGAGCACAGGAGGTGATCCAGGAGCACCACTCAGCTCAGATGTTCGGAACATGGTCATGCCCGTGCGGACGCTACGTGAAGAATCACCAGAGATGCTTGTGCGGATGCCATTTCGACAACCGCCTGCGCCAGGGAGAGCAGCCACAGAGACAGCCACACATGTCAGCACGACCGAGGGCCGACGCCGCCATCGAGAGGAGCAGGCCGCCCCAGGCGAGGCGCGACCGCAGTGCAAGCCGCCCCAGTCGACGCGGGCGAGTGGAGCCAGACAAGCAGATCAAGCAATATGTTTCGAAGATCATTCCCATGACACGTGCAGAAGCAGTCGAGTACGAATGCTACATCGATCCACCGACGAGCGACCCCGTGCAGCAGAAGCGCTACCAGGACGATACCCGCAGCCGCATGGTGGAATATGCGACTATGGCGCTTGCAGCCAAGCGCGCGGCCGACACTGTCGAGGCGGGGAAGTTGGACACCAAGCTGTCCGTGCTCAAGTGCATGATGGGGTTAACGCAGCCAACAGGGCAGCAGCTGGCTGCCATGAGGCAGAAGAAGGATCAAGCGGTCGAGAAGCTCAAGACTACGCGTGCCAGAGTAAAGATGCTTCAAGAACAGGAGGACGAGCAGCTCGAGGAGCTGGAGAGGCTCCGCGACTACGTGGCCGAGCTCGAGGAGCAGCGCAAGGAAGAGGAAAGTGGACAGGATACGGTCGGGCCGCCGCCTGGGCGCTTTGCTGCGCCTGTGCATGGTGGACCGCAGTTAGGAGTGAATCCTGGCCAGCCGTCGAACATGTACCAGCAGCACCCGCCGCCACCGCCGCCCGCCGTTCCCAGCCCGATGGAGGTCATTATGCAGCAGATGATGGCAAAGATGGCACAGCAGGATCAGCAGATGCAGTTCACGATGCAGGCGATGGGGTTTACACAAGCGCCGCCGGGGCAGGCGGCGCAGGCAGCGGCAGCGGAGGCGACGAGGCAGGGGGAGCAGGAGGCGGCAGCGAGGGCGGCGCAGCAAGCGCACGAGGCTATGTACGGCACGGCGACACCGCGGCCGTCGATGGCGTCCTCGCCCATGCAGCCGCCAGTCGCGCCCGTGTCGTCGCACCCCCCAGTTGCGCCAGAGCCGATGGTGGTGGACGCGTCGCCGCTGCAGCCGCAGGGGCGATTGGCAAGCCCCAGCTCGCCGCCGCCTGGTCAGCCGACGCCGCCGACACCGCAGGCGCCAGCGCCCAGGACGCCGATCGTGGGCACCACAGGGGGCTTGAGGTCGCCAGCCGCGCCAGTCAAGCTGCCGTCGCCCGCGGAGAACGCCAGGGAGGTCGACACCACCCCGATCGCCGCGACGCAGCAGGCGGAGCCCGAGCAGGTGGAGCCGCCAGTCTGGCCGACGCCTATCTCGCCGACACAGCCGATGGTGAACAGCTCTCAGATCGACGATCCATACGTGGTACCGCCGCAGCACAGCGTGACCTACACGTCGCCGACGGACTCTACTGTGCAGAAGGAGATCCGCAGGCTCGACAAAGAGAAAAGGGACTTGGAATTGTCGTCACCGCCGAAGAAGGAGCCCAGGAATCAGATCGCATCAGTGCCAGAGGCTCGGACGGCAGCAGCCAGGGCCAATGCCCAGCCAGCGGCGCCTGCAGGCGGTGCATGATCGAGGATGTCGTTGCTGGTGTTGGCGGTGTCTGCAGGGAGGTTGCGGCACCGACATGGACGACCAGATCAACGGCCTCAAGCTATAACCATGCACTTTTTTCGCCTCTGCACATTTATTCTCCTGATGGGGTGTGGCGGGTCAGGTGGGATGGGACCATCTGTGCAGCCAATGCCCCCGAGTATGCAGCAGCTGGCCATGCGCGTCGAACCTTTGAACGTTCGCCTTCTGGTCAGGCCCAACCTAGGGCCACCACGGCCTACATGCGGGGTAATGATGCATCACATGAGGATTGGATGCATCTTGATTTTAATGACGAGGCCTCCGACACGAGCCCGTTACAGGTGAGCGCATCCCAGCGTGTGCGCGAGTCAGCAGCAGCATCCGCCAGCGCGGAGGACGCAGAGTGGCAGCTATGCGATCCGTGCGTGCCGCATGAGAGTCAGGATGGGTGGCTGGGCGGGTGGAGGCTTGTCGGGGGGGAGGAGAACTCTGACAGTGCAAGTTTTAGCTCTTGTGAGCCAGCTGACTGGGACCTATGTCAGCGGGCTGGCGAGTGCGACATGCACTTACGCAACAGCTGTTCAGATGTTGGGATCGGCGGCTTTGAGCTTGCAGGCGAGGGGTATACGCCACTTGCGAGCACGCCAGCCAACAATACTATTGCACCCAGCGCAACCTCAGGCACCAATCGCGTTTTGGCCCAGCGGTCCGTGTCCTGGGGTGGCGTGGACGTTTTAACGTTTGTTGCGGATGAGCCTGTTGGTGACTGCAGCGTCACAAGCGTTGATGACACAGGTAGGAGCCCGACACCAATGGTCATATGTTTGGATACGCTGCTCAGTCCTGCCCGTGGCTACGTAAGTTGTGACTTTGCAGGTGCCGATCGGATCGTTCGCCGTATCGTTGCTCAGGCCCCTGTCAGGTTGCTCACCGACATAGGCAATGTCGAACTCAAGTTGGTGTCCGAGTTTGCGCTGGGTGTCGCAGAGCGGTGTGACCGCCCCCTCGGCCCCGTCGCGCTCTACACCGACGGATCCCTCACCAAGGATGAAGGGTCGAGTGGTTGGGCCATGATTGCCACTTGTATGGATGAGGAAGGAGATGTCCGTTTTTTTTTTGTGTTTTTTGGCTGGAGGGGTCGTTGCCACGCTTGGATTCAATCTCGAAAGGGAAGTCAGCAGCGTCACAGCTGAGCTTGTTGGCATCGTCTGGGCCCTGGTCTGGACTGTTGCGCAGGCCGAGGTAGGAGGGGGCCTGGGGTCTCGGTTTCCTGATACCATCATGTCTGACTCCCAAGTTGCCATAGATATCACATTGGGAATTAGCGTTGGACACGCCGAGCCACAGCTTGCTGCCCTTGCCAGGCATCTATATGAGCTTGCACGTGCCAGGGTCCACATAGCGCTGTTGCACATATATGGGCACAATAAGAATTGTTGGAACGAGTTGGCAGATGACATTGCGAAGTCCACACGCACCCTCCAGTATGATTGTGTGGACCCTGCACTCGTGCGCGAGATGTATTTCACCCCGTCTTTGGCTTGGAACTGGATCGCAGAGCTAGGGTCAGCTGAGCGACAACAGTATCCACTGCACGGGCAATACCAATTTCGCATGCCAGACCATCCGCAGTGTTGTGACGCTGCAGGTGCTGGCACTTTCGTGCAAGCCATCCCCGAGACTTGTGGTCAGTTTGATTGCAGCGAGAGCGTGAAGAAGGCCGTGCTTCGCGACTTCGTGCTTGCCAGTTACAACGCTGAATCCGCTCAGGACCTTGTTCGAGGCGAGCGCACGGTGTTTCGAGGGCAGTGGCTTAGGCAGCAGTTTGCAGAGGCGGCAGTGCTGTTGGTCGGCATACAGGAAGCGCGGACCCCCAGAGGCAGTAGGTCTGCTGATGGCTTTTTCTGTTTTTCGACGGGCCCCGAGGGTGGAAAAAATCTTGGTTGTGAGCTTTGGGTCAACGCCGCGGTTCCGTATGCCAAAGTTGGGGGAAGGGACGTCTATCTCAAAGCTGCTCATTGTCTAGTCGTGGAGGCGGAGCCGCGTAGCTTGGTCGTCAAGATCAGCGCCCCGTATTGGAGCACAGTTGTAATGGTCTGTCATGCACCCTGTATGGAGGCGAAGATGGACGTTCGCAAGCGGTGGTGGGACCATGCTAAGAGGATCGCCAGCCGCTTTGGCGTTGATATCATACTAGGAGATGCCAACGCACGCTTGGGAGACAAACAGTCAGAAGTAGTAGGGACTTTCGGAGGCACTTCGGAGGACAGTAATGGGGAGTTTTTCCATGCTTTGTTATGTGAGGCACGTTTGGCTGCTGTCACCACCATGTCTCCTGCGGCCACGCCTACATACGCATACTTGCACCACTCTGGGTCCCAGCATCGCATCGACTATGTCTGTGCTCCGCTATGCTTGGCATGCCATGTCACGGAGCATGGGGTTTTGCGCGATATCGATGTCGACCGCAGGCACCAGGACCACTACCCAGTTTATGCTAAGTTTCGGTGGAATGAGCACATAATGGTCGGCAAAAGGGTTCCCGCCATAGATGTGGCCGCCACGCGTGGTCCTGTCAAGCGTGAGGCTTTCGAGAAGGATCTCCTGGATTGCCCCCCCTTGCACTGGTCCCTTGATGTGAACCGACACTTTGAATTGCTCACTAGTATGATGTACCAGTGTGCTGTCAACAACTTTGCTCGAGGTAAAAAGGGACCAGTGCGCAGCTATATTCGAGCTGAAACGCTGTGGGCCATCCGCCTTCGGCGCACTGTTCGTGGTGTCTTGCGTGCCTTTCGCAACTGTGATGCCCGTCCGCTGCTGAGCTTTGCCGTATCCCTCGTGCAGGCTGACGACGAGCCTGACATTGCTGCGGCCAGGCTTGCATTTCCCGATTTCGACGCATGTGTGGGAGTCCTGAGTTTCGGAGCCAGACTCTGGGTTGAGCAGCTCCAGGGGGTTCAGGAATTTCACGAAACCTGCCTTATGTTTCTTCGGACGTCTCAGCGCATTATTAGGAAAAAGCTGAGGGGGGACCGTACCGATTTTCTCGTCGAAGGGGCCCAAAAAGTCAACGATGCTATTGCTGCCAGTGATGGCCGGGAGGAATGGGGTTGGATGTCGTGCTTGATGGCCTTTGGAGGCTCTCGTAGCAAAGGTGACAAGGGTGCGCTACCCACGCGATTGGACACCACTGGCGCCCCATTTGAATCGCGAGAGGCTCTCGCGCATGGGCTGTTGCAGCACTTCGCTGCAGCAGAGAAGGCGTCCATCTGCACTGTGGAAGAGTTGGTCGTTGCCTACAATGCGCAGCAAAAAGCATTCACATCCGTCGGTGCCAGAGAGTTGTCTAGTTTGCATTCCCTTGATTCCCTGCGTTGCGACCTGCTTCGCGCTTCGCGTAAGAAAGCAGGTGGTCCTGACTTGCTCACAAACGATGTATATTTGGCTGCCCCCGATGTGTGTGCTCGTATGTTGCTCCCTCTGTTGACTAAAGTCCAGCTCACCTGTAGAGAGCCTTTGGCGTGGAAAGGGGGTGTCGCACACGACCTCTTTAAGAAAGGAGACCCCCGCCTGCTTAGCAATTTTCGAGAGATTCTCCTGGGCGTGCATGTGTGCAAGCATCACCATAAGTTTTTGCGGCGTAAGATTGTGGAAGTAGCGTCGGCACTGCTTGATATCGACCAACGCGGGGGACGGGCGGGAAGGGGCACAGCTAGTGCGTCATTGCAGGTCAGGGTCTTCCAGGATTTTGCACACTCGAGGGGGTGTTCCACGGTGCTCTACTTTACGGACCTTAAAGCCGCCTTCCATACGGTCATGCGTGAATTTTTGGTGCCGTTGCCGTCCGCCGCAAGCGAACTAGAAGACGTCGTGGACGATCTTGCATTGCCATTTGCATTGGAGGGGGTGTTGCGCGAGGTTTTGGCTCAGCCCACTGTCTTTGAGAGAGTTGGTGACAAGCACCTGCAAGACACGGTGCAGGACGTCAACTCGTGCACCTGGTTTCAAGTGAAGGGAGCAAAGTCGGTGGCGCGTGCAGTCATAGGTGCACGACCAGGCATGCCGCCAGCCGATGTCTTCTTCACTCTTGCGTTTGCTCCTGTCCATGAGAAGCTGAGAGGTAGATTCTTTGCAGAAGGGATTACGATTGATATTCGGGAGTTGCTGCCAGAAGTGCCCATATGCTTTCGCGACAGGGAGCGTGACACTGATTCCGTCGTCGGATCACCGTCATATGTTGACGACTTGGCGGTATTGCAGATGAGCACGAGCGCACGTGATTGTCCTCGCCTCGCCTCCGTCGTTGTTCGAATTGTGCATGAGGTCATGTCGTCGTCTGGTTTCGTCGTTAACTATGGGGAGGGTAAGTCTACCTTGCTTTTTGGGCTTGGAGGTACGGGGAAAGGTGCAGTGAAGGCAAAGCTTGCAGATATGAAGGGCCAGTTCCAAGTTTCGAGTATAGGCAAATGCGTTCATATGGCCAACGTTTGCAAGCATCTGGGATCCATGATCCACGCGTCGCGTACCATGACGGCGGAGCTCATGCACCGTCACCGCTCTCAGCTAGGAGTTCTGGGTGCTCTTAAGCGTGCTGTGTTTAAGAACAATAACGACTTGGACGTAGCTCATAAGTACAAGTTTGGGGCTGCCTACTGCCACAGTCGGGTCCTGTTCCATTGCGCCGTGTGGTCTGGGCTTTCGTGTGGTAACCAGCGGTTCTTGGAAACTGCATACTTGGCCTCAATGCGGGCCGCGATGGGGTACAGGCGTCAGGAGGAGGATGATTTGCGTGCCTGGTCCACCCATGAGTTGTACGTTGCTTGCCGCCGATTGCCGCCTCTCGTCGTGATCCAGCTGAGGAGGCTTCGTTTTTTGCCCAAACTCCTGGACTCCGCTTCCCAGGGCCTTTTGCACATGTTGGACGCCTTGATTGACGCGAAGGGGAGCTGGGCACAGATGCTCAGCGCGGATCTGGTATGGATGGCCGATCGAATCAGCGTGCCTGCAATACACCGTCCCGTTGGCGGCACGTCTTGGTGGATTTACATGGCCCGCACGGACAGAGCGATGTGGACCTCTTGGTGTCGGGAGGCCGAGCGCAGTGCCCTAGCAGAACTCTTAGCGTTGGCCGAGGTAGCTATATGGAGAAGTGATTTGCACGATATATGCTTGCGCGGTAACCTTCCTGTACCCCATATTCTCAAGCCTGCTGCGAGCGAGCTCGTTTATCCCTGTCGGGACTGCGACCTAGTCTTCAATTCTAAAGTGGCATGGTCGCGGCATCGAACACTGGCTCATCCAGTGTTCGACCTGGCGGGACGCGTCGCAGTGGGCACGGTCTGTCAAGCATGCTGTTTGGATTGGAGCAGGCGCAGCCGCCTGCTTCGACATCTCCGCTTCGGATCGCGGCACAGTTTAGCTCAGCTGGTGCATCATATGGAACCGCTATCAGTCGAGCAGGTGTGTGAGCTACGTGCTGAAGACGCCCGTGAGGCGCGTGCTGCCCGTATGCGTGGGGAGTGTCAGAACTATGCTGCAGGACCGCCCGTGAGGATCATTGGCCCTGCCCTGGGAGGCGAGGTGGATCCAGTCGTCATCAGGGCGACCACGGAGGGTGTGGAGCGAGCCCAGCACCAGGTGGAGTGTGATGTGCAATCGTCTGGGCTCCCTCGACAACCGACGTTCACGAGGTATTATCTCCATCTTTTTAGTGGCCAGAGGCGTCAGGACGACGTCCAGGCCCATTTTGAAGTTTTCCAGGCGCGTTCGTTGTTGCCTGTTATCATGCTTTCAGTGGATGTAGCTAACAGCCCCGTTCGAGGTGATCTCACTCAGAAAAAGTCTGTGCAGCAGCTACTGTCGCTAATATGGGACGGTGCAGTCCTGGGCGCGGTCGGAGGACCCCCATGCGAGACCTGGTCTAAAGGCAGAGCTAACCCACCTCCGTGCGGAGGCGACAGGCCGCGGGTGTTGAGATCCGACAAGTGGCTCTGGGGCTTGCCTGCTTGCTCGAAGTCCGAATGGGAACAAATAGTGCTTGGTAATCGTTTGCTCCAGACTATGTTGCAGGTTGCACATGTGTGCATGGCAAAGGGTATTGCTTGCATCGTCGAACACCCCCTCGCGCCTCCTCTTCCTCACCTCCCCTCAATATGGCGCCTGCCAGAAGTACGTGCGATGAGGGGCATGTCCCGACAGGCACGTGTGGAGTTTTTGAATGTTGATCAGTGTCAGTGCGGGGCCCGCTCTCGGAAACCGACAACCCTGCTCGCTGTCAACTCTCCTGGTTTGAAAGATTTGATCCGCCAGCTCCCAGGCAGCGGTATATGTAATCATGAGTCGCATCCTGAGGAGTTGGTGGGCACCCGTGCGAATGGCCATTTTTCTGCCGCCGCTGCCAAACAGTACCCGTCTTTGTTATCCAAAGTCATTGCTCAGTCTCTGCTCTTGGCGGCTCCCTCAGACATGACCTTGTTACAGGCAGGAACAGTGCCCGAGGTTCCAGCAGAGGTCGAGGAGTTTTTCGTGCCCTTCGACCCGTTCTACGAAGGACACGGGTGGGGGCAGTTCGCGTCGGACAGGCACCGTTAATTGTCTTGCTGCCGCCGCTGCTGCCTCTCCTTTGCATGATTCTTCAGTGCGGTCTTCGGCCTCCATCGGTGCAGGAAGAAGAAGGAGGAGGAGGAGGAGGTGGAGGTGGAGGAGGAGGAGGCAGAGGGGGAGGGCGAGGGAGGGGCCTGCCGAGTCCCCGCTCCAGGAGGTCCTCTCGGCCCCAAGCGGGGCCCCTCGAGTCTCAAAGGGTCGGGCTGGGGGTCCCGCAGCCCGCAGGAGAGATGTGGCAGGGGAATCGCCGCGGCCAAGGCTGCGGCAACAACCCGGGATGCCGTCCTCGCCGCCGCCGCCGTCCTCCTCCTCCACGCCGCCCTCGCCATCCTCGTCGCCCTCGTCGCTCTTCGCGCCAGCGGCGGCGCCGCCCTCGTCCACCCCCAGGGGACGCCTCGAGCCCCTGCCGCCGAGCAGCGACGCCATCTCGCGCCGATCTCCCCGCGCGCCCTGGGCGCGCGCCGAGGCTGCGGCGCAGGGGGGCCTCGGCGCGGGGGGGGGGGCTGAGCGGCGCCGCGGGGGGGCTGGCTGGCCGAGCCGCGCGCGGCCGGCTGGCTGGGCCGCGGAGGTCTTCGAGCGGCCAGGGCACCTCCGAGCGACCAGGGCGGCTCCGAGCGGCCCGGGCGGCTCCGAGCGGCCTGGGCGGCTCCGAGCGGCCGGGGCGGCTCCGAGCGGCCGGGGCGGCTCCGAGCGGCCGGGGCACGCGGCGCAGGCGGCCCGAGGGGCAGTCCGACGTGGCCTCCGTCCCGGACCTCCAAACAGGACCCACCCCGAGGCCTAAGCTGGATCGAGTCTCGAAAGCGGATCGGAAGCGGCTCGGGAGCGGCGCCCGACGAGCAGCCCAAGAACAAACACGAGCGCGCAGCCTGCGCCGGCGGAACCCAGACAGCCGACGCCTCAATTTCGCTCGTGACACGGGCCCCCGACCTCCCGACCGCCTCCCCCGGACCGGCTTCTCATCCCGAGCCGCTCTTGGACGGCCCCGAGGCCCGGCGAGGGCCCCGCGGAGGCCGAGAACGACGAGAAGCCTCCGCCTCGACTCTGTCGAGAAGCCCCCCGGAAGTGGCCCAGAGGTCACCCGGGCCACCCGGCCTCTCCGTGCGCCGCGCGCCGCGCGAGGCGCGGGCCAACCTCTGCGCTCCGCGCGGGGCCTCCTCTGGAGGAGGGCGCCCCTGCGGCCCCCCTGGCCTCCTCCTCCTCCTCCTCCTCCTCCTCCTCCTCCTCCTCCTCCTCCTCCTCCTCCCTCCTCCTCCTCCCGCGGGGGCGCCCCCTGCGGGTGGCCCACTGGGCAGGCGCCTGCCTCGAAGGGGCGCCCGCGGAGGGTTGGCGGCGGAGGGCACCTCCGAGGGGCCCCCCCCGGCCCCAAGGCATAGGGAGGGAGAAGAGCCCACGGGTTGACAGCGATGCGCACATGGACAGCCTGCGCTTCTTGGCGGCCGCGGAGTGCGAGCCACTGGGCGGTGGGGCATGACCAGGTCATGGTTTGCTGTGATGCGCAACGCCCGAACAGCCGGAACGGGGTCCGATTGCTGAGTGTTGGTGCGTCTCCATAGTGAAGCGCGATCAACTTATCCTGTGGGACGTTTCTGGTATTCGAACGTAGCAGCCTTATTGGGATTTGTTCAGTGACTCGTATCGTCGTTGTTCGCATTTCGCCGCGCATGCACTCATTTGGCCGCTCCGTGTGGCAGACAAGAAATTATGAGCACTGCTAGGCAGCACGCTGCAAATGTCACATGCTCATGGTTGTGCCCAGAAAGATAACAGAAAGTATGCACAATCGACACCTCTGACCGCCAATTCGTATCCCGCGGCGTTTGTCGACATACACCCTCGTCATCCTCTTGCTTCTCCTCCTGACTCTTCTCATGCTGATTCTCCTCCTCCTCCTCCTCCTCCTCCTGGTCCTCCTCCTCTCCGTCCCCTGCCTCGGCTTCCTTCCCCTCCTCCCCACGCCGAGTCAGGATGGTCGCGAACATACCACGGCATCGCGCGACTCACGAAACGCGATCGACGTCTTGTTACCGCTGGCCGCCACGAGAACTCACCACGGTCCGCCCTCGCCCTCGGGCATCTGCTTCGGGGGCGCCCCTGGATACAATTCCCAGAGTCCCCCCTCACACCGCGACGAATACGCAGAGGCGCAGCGATGAGGGCGGGCAGCAGCATCGGCGCCGCCTGGCCAGCTACCGTAGCCGCCCAGCTCCCCCTCCTGAAGCCTCCTCCGACTCCTCCTCCTACTCCTCCTCCTCCGCTGCCGCCGATCTATGCAGCCCCCACCTTGCAGCGCGCGACGCGCCCCCCCCAGGGCACAGCGGCGCGCCTCCTCCTCGTCCTCCTCCTCCTTCTCCTCCTCCTCCTCCTCCTCCTTCTCCTCCTCCTCCTCCTCCCTCGTCCTCGTCCTCGTCCTCGTCCTCGTCCTCGTCCTCGTCCTCGTCCTCGTCCTCCTCCTCCTCCTCCTCCTCCTCCCCTCCTCCTCCCTCGTCCTCGTCCTCTCCTCGTCCTCGTCCTCCTCATCGTCCTCGTCCTCGTCTTCGTCCTCCTCCTCCTCCTCCTCCTCCTCCTCCTCCTCCTCCTCGTCCTGGTCCTCGTCCTGGTCCTGGTCCTCGTCCTCCTCCTCCTCCTCCTCCTCCTCCTCCTCCTCCTCCTCTCTCACCGCTGTCGCTCCGCGCGCCACTCCCCGATGCGCCACGCGCCCCCAAGGGGGGCCCGGCAGCGAGCGCCGGGAGCCCGCGACGGCCCGCGCGTCAGAGCAGCCCGCGGATGAACAGCACGCGGTGCACGCGCTGAAGGCGACGCGCCGCACGGCCGCGGCCCGCCGCCGCCGAGGCAACGGGCATCGGCCACTGCCGCCGCAACTGCCGGCGCCACCAACGCCGTCACCGACCGCCGCTGCTGCCGGCACCGACCCCGCCGCCCGCTGCCATGCCCGCCGCCGCCCGCTGGAGTTGCCGCTCCGCCTCCAGCCGTTTCCGCCGCGACTCTCGCGGCCACCCGCCGCGATGCCAAGACAGCGGCCCCAGTTACAGTTTTCCACACGGTGGCGAGGAATCTGATGAAGATGCCGCCGACTGTCCTAAGGATGCAGGTGCTGATGCCAGGCGCAGCATGTCATAACAGTGGTGGCCGGTGGTGGCAACAGGCAGCACCGAGAGCAACATTCCGATTGATTGCCACGCGAGGCACGCGGAGCTTCGCGGGCCCGTCGAGGCCACCCAGCTCCGCGCCCCGCGCCCCGCGCCCCGCGCGCCGCGCGGCTCATCGTCGCGCTCCGCGCCGCCGCTGGACGAGCCACGGCTGCCCGGCCCAGGCCGCGAAGCACGCTCGGCCTCCGCGCCCCTGCCGGTGACCCCGGGGCCCAGACCCCCGACGTCATGATTTTTTCATGACGTCGACCCCCCGAGGTCTCGACCCATTCCCCGGGACCGGTTTTTCGTCCTGAGTCGTTTTTTGACGGTCCCGAGGGCCAGTAAGGGTCCCCAAAGGCCAAAAATAATGAAAAATCTCCCGTCGTGAATTTTTCATAACTCGAGGGGGTCTGGGGGGGGGGGGGGGGCTCCACCTGCGGCTCCAGTGGCAGAGCCCGCAGGGCGGCGCCGCCCAGCTCGGCACACCCCTCGGGAGGGCCGCGGCCCTGCCGTCGGGCCGTCGAGAGCAGGCGCGCCAGCGGAGGAAACGAGCCCCTTCTCGGCCCCGCGAGCGCCTGCGTGCACGAGGGGCGCTGGGGGAACAGCCCTCCTCCTCCTCCTCCTCCTCCTCCTCCTCCTCCTCCTCCTCCTCCTCCTCCTCCTCCTCCTCCATGGAAGGATCCACGGCAGGAGCAGCGAGCCCCTCCTGGAGCCAGGCTGTTCCTTGCTGCAGCGCCATGGCTGCCGGGGGCGCTCCCGTGGGACTCCCGCGTGGCGCTGCAGTGAGGCACCTTGGGGCTCCGTCCGGCCTCGCGGGCAGAGAGAGGGGGGGTGGGTGGGCGGCCAGGCCGGGAGAGCAGGCGGAGCGCGTTCGAGGGCGACCCCCTCCCGAAACCGCCGCCCCCCCCCCCCCCCCCCCTGGAGTGCTGAGCAGCGCCGACCTGTGACCGCCCTGGTGCCACGAGACCGTCTGGTTCAGCACGGAGGAAAACGGGTGCTGAGGGACGCTGGTCCTGGAACCCATCCCCGCGGAGCAAGTCTTCATCCTGGGTCCCGTTTTGGCATTCCCAGGGGAGGGCTACCAGAGGCCGGAAAGCTGGGAAAGGACCTCGGGATCCCACCTCCTCTTACACCTACACCTCTGCCTGTAGTTCCGCTTCCGCCGCTGCAGCATCTTTCCCCTCTTGCTGCTGAAGCAAGGCCGTCCTTGTCGTTGGCCACCAAGGGGTCGACCAGCTCGGCAACGGTGTCGTCCACGAAGACAGCAATTTCGTCATCCCCGAGTCCTGCCCTCCAGGTGGCTTTGGGGATGTCCACCACCGAACACCCTCGGCACGTTTGGGGAATGTTCGGGTACCTGTTGGTTGTTCGGCGGGGGTTCCGCAATTCTCTCGGAGCGGCCCCTCCTCGCCGCGTGCTGTTGTATCACATCGCCTTCCCTGGGTTCCACTCCAGGCGCTCTTCGCAGCCCCAAGACAGCCTGAGACCGCCCCAAGATGGCTGCAGTGTGCCCTACGACCGAGCAGCGACTGACCAGAACCCCCGTGGCTACGATGCTCCCAGAGACCGACGCGACGGCCTGGGAGGCCCCCGAGGCGCCAGGATGCCATCCGAGAAGCCACCCAAAGGCCCCAAGGAGACGACCCACACGGCCACCAAGTGCTCCTCATTGTGCAGGCTCCGCGGAGAACTGCCGGGGCCGCGGCGGGGGCCGCTCGGACGGCCACACGGGGCGAGCCCCGAGATGCCCGCGGGAGCTTCCAGAGCTGCGGGCCCTCGCGCGGCCCTCGAGAAGGGTGCCACGCTGCACGTGTGTCATGGCGTGGCCGCGTCTCGCGCCCCTCCCCGCTCAAGGTCGTCGTGTCCGTGCTCCTCCTGTGCAGAACTCGCCGTCGCTCGGACGTCCGTTCCCCATGCACTGTTCGGTTTCGTGCGTGTTTTTTTGTTTTTGCTCGATGGTCCAGGATGGTCCTCGATGGTTCTCGCTGAGGAAAAATGCACACGTCCGAGCGATGCCAAGAGAACTGTCCACAGCGGGCCAGGGCAGATTGCATCATACCATGCCACCTCTCACTGGGCCGTGGCAGACCCAGACTGGGCAGATCACCAGCCAGACCAGACCACCGAGGAACTGATCAATCAAACACAGGAGACGGCCAGGATAGGCAAAACCAGGGAAGGAGCCACTGATGTGTCCGCAGACTTGAGGCTCGGCGAGTGTGGACACTTTGGTGACATAATAGGGGGCGATACCACACACACGCAAACGAGCGAACCATACGTGACTAGACGGCGCCAGGACCAGACCAGGCGTAGCCAGGAAACTATATCGTATTACACTGGGTTGTGACCAAACCCTTTCAGACCAGACTGCAGGAGCCGATCGCATCAGGCCACGAA